TGAAGTACCTGCACAGCAAGGGCATCTTCCACAGAGACCTGACCTCCAAGGTGATTACACACACGGTGCTCATGTACTGCTCACACACATCACTGAGAATCAACAGTCACTGAACCCACTCGCTCAGAAGGTTGTGACGCACATAGGCGTATGAATGCTCCACAATAGCACGAGTGCTACAGGTGAGCGCGCGCACACACGCACAGGGAGGCGCAGGAGTGTAAATACTTCGTGATTAGTAAACAGAAGGAAGGTAAAAAAAGATCTGAGTACAGATTTAAAGGCGCTGCAGGTGCGTTACAAATCGTAAAATTACATATGATGCTATCACAAAGGTCCAGTGTTGGACCTGGATCTGTGCCAAACAGCAGTCAAAACATCTGTGGGAGTCTTGGCAGGCGAACTTTACACACTTAGAGCCCCTACTCACGTCTTTTTTTCTCACATTTTATTTTTATAGGTTGTTTTTGAGTATCCTACAGGAGCCTGTGTGTTATTGTATTTAAAATGCACATTAATAAACATTGTGTAAAAATGTACCAGATTTGGTGATTGCAGGCTTATCATCTGTGCTCCCAGCAGGTCGTTGACTTTTGTAAACTACTGCCAGTGACGTCATTATGCAACAGCTGATAATCCGCTGCATTCAACACTAGTGAGTGGGCATCACGTGTCCTGCGTCCAGAGTATTTCTAGGAGTGTAAAGGAAATAATTTGGGGGGGACGCTGCGATCTGATGCTCTGAATGTCTGAATTTTCTTAAATTTAAGTTTTCTTCTTCTTGCAGAAAACTAACCAAAAACCTCTTTGCAGGCATGCAGAAAGCCCCGCTCTCACATACTGTGGATGCAGCAATAAAGTGATTCATGTGACCTTTGCCCCTCTGTTCAGAACTGCCTGGTGCGCTGGGAAGGTGCCGTGTGCTCGGCTGTGGTGGGAGACTTTGGCCTGGCAGAGAAAATACCAGATTACAGGTCAGTCCGTCGACACCTATCAGCTGTGTGATTAGATAAGTCGGGCTCAATAAATTCCACTCCTGCACTTGTCTCCGCTCTGTTTATATTCCATGCCATATCTCTTTCTCCGTGCACTCGAAATATTTCTCTCAACTTCTGCTTTTCTCCTGGAGACGTTCGGATGAGACAGAGTCACACACAGAGACTGTTGCTCACTCCCGATCAGTCAGGTTTTTCCAAAGTACACAGGCACACGCTGCCTCCGCTCTGTTTCATAGGTCCAGGGGAAGGCAGACGGGACGGCATTTTGGCTCGCAGTGATCTTTTCAGTGTTTTTTAGTGTGAGCTTTTATGACACACCACTAACTCCCAGCTCTGTTGCTGGTGTCGCGTTATGACTCTTCCCCTTCGTTTTTGCAGCTGCATTTCTAGTGACATTTATGTGGTTTCTACAATTCATCACTGGCCTGTACAGGCTATAAATGACCAGCAATCCTCAGATGGGTCTTTATTTTAATTTCTGCAGCTATTTTTCCACTGACATCATGTCTGTTAAGTGGCAGATGATCAGATTCTTGGCATAAAAGGGCCCCGCTCTAAAGATTGAGGGGAAAAGACGTTAAAATGTTTACAGAAGAAAAAGTGGTTCAACAAAGTGTTAGTAGAGGGGACAAAACACACAAATTCTTAGGTTCTCTTTTAAATTGTAGACTTGTTATGCAAACTGGGGTTGTTGTTTTTTTGTTTTTTTTTAATAAATCTGACAGTGATCACATGTAAGTATATTCTCTCTGAATCTGTAAAATGACCAGCATGAGGGTTGTTGCAAGATAGTTGGAGAATAGAGAAATTATTTAAGAAGCAGTGCAGCATCTTAATATTTTCTCTTGCAACGAAAGAAGTGGTGTGATGGAGAC